CTAAGTTTCAAAGAGAAAATGAAGATGTTTGCCATGGAAACAGGAGAGGATGGTACGCCACGAGACAAAGTGAAAATATCACGAGCCCAACGTGAAATTGATAACATCGGTGGCCCTCTTAGTCCTAATAACAATACCACGAAAGGCTAAGTGTAACGCAATTTCGTCCTATATATTCTTTAACAAATTATTTACGGAAGTGTATACTACATAATTTGTAGTTATGATCAAGCTTCGTTTCTTGATCATGAATCATCAACTAACAGAAGAGCCATTCTATATATCTCTTTATAAAGCTTATATATACTTATTAAAAAAAAAAAAAAAAAAGAAAAGAAAACGAGGGAACATAGAAAAAAAAAGAACAATAGTTTCATCTCGACATTTTAAGGGATGCCTTAATTCTAAAAAAGATTATATCATAATATCGTTATCGTATTTTTCGTCTCTGTTAGACGTATATATATATATATAAAATTCTTAAATATTCAATGATTTAAGAGTTTAAAAGAAATCAAATGATAGAAATTATACAGAGTGTTAGTCAAAAGTTCTTGGGTGATTATGAAAATCGATTTTTTTTTTTCGACAATTTTTTTAACAATATTTGTTTTTTTTTTATTATAAAACTACGAACATAGCTTTTAAAATGACACAAATCTAAATTGCAAGTCTAAAAAAAATCTCAACAAAGGATAATTTAGTTTTTAAAATCACTTAGAAACTTTCAACTCTACCCTGTATATATATATATATATATATATATATATATATATTTGAGATAGAAGTTGATTACTTTATGAAATATATAATTATCGGGATCAAGTTTTAAATGAAAATAATATAATATTATCCATGTTGATCGTCGAAAGAGAATAATAGAATTTGGCAGCCATATTTTAAAGTCTTGAAATTATACGTCGACGATAATATCCTACATTTGTTAATGCCGTCTCTTCGGTGGACCAACTTAATTCTAATATTTTATGATGATGTAGTGTTTAAGGTGTAGCTTTTGAAAATATATACAGGAAAAACAAAAGAAAGAAAGATAGAAAAAAACTCATTAAAGAGTAAAATTCTTGGTCGGTGACATTTCAATGAACCAATCAGAATGTACCTCACACGATTGTATATAGGCTGAACATAGCCGTCCGTTGCTTCTATTGTTTGATATTTATATTTATATACATTTGTATGTTTGTTGTGTGCGTGTATGTGTGTGTGCGTATGTGTGCGTGCGTGCGTGCATAGAAAAATAACGCGAAATATCAACTACATCATATTATATTTCTTCTTTTTCTTCTTTTTCATTAAACTACAGCATAGCAATTTTAATGTGTGAGTACTGTACAAAATACACAAAGAAAAGCGCGCGTACATAGCTTTAATAAAGCAAATTATATAGGTAGTCGTAATAATACTCTATATAAGAACCGAATATGCTTGTACAATATTTATATATATATATATATATATATATATATATATATATATTTATTTATAAGAGCTTATGAGATCGTAAAGAAAACAGAAAAAACGAGATAAATGTTATGAAATTGTTCATGCGTTAGAGGGGTCGTTCACCCAATTCTTAGGTGATGGCAAGCAAAATACGCATAGATGGTTTTTAAATATATTATACAAGAGAGTTACAGAACAACATTAAAATATCTGAATAATAATCAATAGAAATGTGAATTATATTGTCTAAAATGTAGAAATTTATAAAAAAAAAAAAAAAAAAAAAAAAAAAAATTGCAAGTAACTCATATTATATATATATATATACATACACACACATATCTGTGTACAGGCATCAAAAGTTCTTAAAAGATTTTGAAGAAATCGTATAGCTTAGTATTGTAGAGAATTACAATACAATAATCTTTATAATGTGAGAAGACAGTGTGTGTACGGTTATTCAACATATCTGTGAACATTCATAAAGTTTATTAATTTTCAAACAAATATTATTTCATTACTTTTTATAAATTAACTATTGTTTTATTAATTTTATTTATATATTCATTATATATAAACGAATGTATATTTGATTTGAGTAGAGATTTATGTACCGAAGGGAATGTAAAAATGACTTTAATTATTGCATTATATAAAAATAACGTAAAATTATTTACGTTTCATTTTGAATGTCCACAGAATTGAGAGATCATCGAATCACTACTGTAACGAAATATAAGTATCGTGGAAGAGTCACTTTTTAATAAAAAGTTTCCTGCAAACTTTAGTTTGATAAATCTTACAAAACAAAACACATAGCAATATTAGTAGTTAAAAGAAAGAGAGAAAAAAAAACGCGTTAATAATGACTGTTAATCTGGCAAGCAACGACCGGTCGAGTCGAACATACATACTTGCTAGTATATAATATTCCTTATATTTGAACAATTGTTTCTCAAAATATGAATTCACGTAATTACGTACGACGTTGTATTTGTCTACGTATATATATATGCTATGTATTCTTGTACCTTTGGAATCTTTAAAGAGAACATACAAAATCAACGCTCTCTTGTTCTGATATATTCAAATATATTATATATTATTAATGATAACATTATAAAAATGTTCCTATGAAATATGTATGTATATATACATATACATATATATATATATATATATATATATATACATATATTTTAGGACAGAACAGAAAAAGGTACTTATATAAGTGTATGTTGAAAAAAAAAATATATGACTCTATGAAAATATTCTTTGAACAAGACTTTAAAAAAAATATTCAACGAAATATATAATTCATAAATCTAATCGATTACAACGATCGTGTTAACGTTTTGAAAAGTAATTATTGTTCTATTGCAATTAATGCAGAATATATCGTTTGCAGTTTTCTCAAAGATGGATACGACTCTTCCGGCGTTTATTTAAGTTTGCAAAAAGTATTTTTTTATGTTTATTATTATTATTATTATTATTATTATTATTATTATTATTATTATTATTATTATTATTATTATTATTATTATTATTATTATTATTATTATTTTCTTTTTAGTACATTTTAGAAACTGACCGTGATATGTCGTGCAGCTCATTAAGAAATTTTCGTTAAGAAGGCAATCGAATCTATGTAATTTTATGCGTTAAGATTGTTCGATTGTAACGTCAAGAAAAATAATTAAATGTGTTTGTTTAGGATCTAGGTTTTGGCCCGTATTCCGAGCGTTAAATGTAGAAACGATATGAAATATTTTTGGAAAATAAACAAATGCTTTAGAACTGAGGAATCTGTTAGAACGCTTCGAATACGGACCTTCAGCTCTTTATACAGCCATATATCGTTAAGAGATAGTGATATATGTTCATTCTCGATCCTGTATTGCCCATGTGTCCTTAAATAATATACAAGTATATAATTAGTAGAATGATTTTTTACCTATATAAATAGTTCACATACGTTTGGTTAAAACTTTAGGCCAATGAGAGAGAGAGAGAGAGAGAGAGAGAGAGAGAGAGAGAGAGAGAGAGAAAAAGAAAAGTACTACGTTTATTTAGTTTAACACAGCGATTAAAATCGATGCAACGATTATCACTGTTAATTTTCATTTCAAAATTTTTCTTTTTTATATTCGACTTTTTATTCCAAATAATTCTATTAAAATAAATGGGCAATGTTTATTGACAAGTGTTTTTAGGCTGGGCAACTTGTTATTTACTACATATGATTCGCAAAAAGTGAAATTTTACAAGATTATAAAAGAAATATATTCAAGTTGTGCAACTATTTAACGAATAAAAGAAACAAATTCCCTCCTTCGCGTGCGTATAAGTAGATATATGCATGTATAAATAGTATTTGCACTTTGTATTTTGTAATAACATTTTAATTATTCAATTGCAGTGGAGTCGTAGCGTTTGATCTAATTATATATCGAGTTACGGTCACACACAACGATAATTAATAAACGTTTAACTAGCGTTATTACATTTTACCTACGTTAATGATTGCACCTTTAGAAAACGGACTATATTTTTTAATTACTGTATTATGTCAATATATTACAGAGATGATATACTATCATTGACGAAGAAATAAACGTCATATCTGCAGGCAATATGTTTATGGATTTATTTTTTTTCTTTTTTACGAATTCCTTTTTCTCCTCCTCTTTTTTTTCCTTTTTTTTTTTTTTTTTTTTTTTTTTATATAATGTAAAATACTTAACATAAAAAAGAGAAAAAAAATAGACTCATAAGAACTTAGATTAGGGCTATTCATTACCCCTACTTTTATAATAATTTATACCGACAATGAGACCAGGCGTATTTCTTAATCGAGATTTTTGAAAAGATTTTGATGAACGAGATTTCATTAAAAAAAAGAAAAGAATTATGTTATAAAATGATATTTCTTCGTGAATAGTTTATGTATAGATGAAAAGATTTTTTAAAAATTCGTTAAAGCGAGGTCCTTAGAAACTGATGGTAAAGTACAAATCTATCTTACCAACGGTTCAAAATAGATCCCTATTTTACCAACTGTATAGATACTGTTGGTAAAATAGGGATCTATTTTGACCATCGATGGTTAAGTAATAATTTTATATCCGACGATATGATCGAATTTTTGTAGATAGTAAAAATAGTGATACATCTGATAAAAACAAGAAACAAATCATATTGCAAATTGTATTTCTTTGAAAATAGATCAATCCAAATTATTTCTTAATTGTACAAATTTTCTTTACGAATGTGAATATGCTACGATGAAATGTGGTGAAGATCTTTAATCATAAACTGTTCATATTTTTTTTTTGTAAAGAAAATAAAATTTTTTCATAAATTTGAGCAAATCATTTTCTCGTTCAAGTTTTCATCTTTAAAATAAGACTTTGTTTATCAAAATCTTCCAAGAATTATAATTAGGCTCACTTTTGGCTTAAGTTATTATAAAATCGTTGATAATAAAGAGCGTTAAGATAAAAAAGTAATAGATCGTATAGTTTAAAAACAAATTATAATATAATGTTTTGTATTTTATTATACTTACAAGACATCTTTATAAGAACGAGATACTTTACATGCACGTAGTTTCAAATTACTTTCAACGCTATTCTTTACATTAACATCTGAATTAATATTATTAGGATTTATTACAACAGTCATAGATGCATTATTATCAGTTAATTGTACATGCTTTCTACGCCGAGCAAAAATAATGACTTTAGAATTTTCGGACTCTGACCCTTCTTTTTTATTATTTTTCGATGCTTTAATCTTAACAATCTCATTTTCACTATTATCTTCTTCATTTCCTTGGAGATCTTGCGTCATAGCTGCAACTTCTTGATGAACTTTTACTAATGGCTCCTGTTGATCATTTAATATAGGAACTTGATTATCATAGTTGTTATCTGACATATTATATTTATCTTTTGATATATCATTTTCTGTTTTGTGTTTCTCAATAAAAAAAACATTATCTTTAACTATATCTACATTGGAAGTATTAGAAATACTTTCTTCTTCTATTTCATCATTATATTTACAAATAATATTACTTTCTTGTCTAATTGTTTCAACAGAAATTTCTTTAATGGTTCTTGATATATCCTCAGGAAAATTTTGCATATCGCAAGTGCTATCGGCTTCTTTAGAAGCCTTCTCTAATTGTACAATTTCTTTATCACACTTTTCTTCATTGATAATATCATTTTTATCAATATCATTGTCAATACATATTAAAAGTGGTATAATATTGTTTGTAGATGTTACCATACAATCCTGTTTATTTTCAATCAAAGGAATATATTTTTCTTCTGAAGTAGTTGTTATAGCTACAATAATATCTTTGTCTTTTTCAACTTGATCAATTTTTTTTTTTTTATATTCTATATTTTTACTATTTGTTTTCTTTAAACATATACGCGTATCCACTTCGTCAGAAAATTTTGATCCATTTTCAAATTGATCAAGAGAATCTTTATGAATTTCTACATTAGAAATATCTTTTATTTCTTTTGTTTCATTATTTAGATTAGATTTAATGGGAGATACAATTTCGCCATCCTCTAAAATTTCATCGATAGTATTTGTTTTAATTGATTTGTTTGAAATATCAATTTTTTTTTTTGACAGAGATATTATACCTTTCGATTCGTTTATTTCACTTTTCTTTTTCGAAAAAATATTTTCACGTTCTTCCGAATTCTTATCATGCCTTGTAGATTTTAAATATCTCCTATCATAAATTTTATGATTTGTTCTTTCTCTACTCCTACTTCTTTCATGTGATACAGATCTAGAGACATGTGAAATTGAATATTTGCTCCCTTTATTTATTGATAAATTAAAATCTGTAGTACCATACTTTTCAGTAGATCTATTTTTATCTTTATTGCGTAAATCATAGGATCTTCTATCGGAAGATATTAAAGTATCTTCCTCTTTATCTTGAGAATTTCGTCTTCTGTCAAATCTATCTCTGTAATTTCTGTATCGATCATCGTGATATTTATGCTTTCTATCAAAATATTTTGGAATAGGGGACCTACTCCGTGTATGATTATATCTATTTTTTTCATAATATAGAATACTTTCTTTGGAATAATTATTGTAATCATTGTTGAATTTTTTATAATATTCCTTTTCCTTTCTTCTGTACGAGGTACTATTTGATCTTGTACCTTTATCATATTTGTTATCATTCCAAGCATTCCTTTCAATATAAGAATTACTATTTTCTTCACAATTTAATTTGTCTGTTTTTGTACTAGATATAATACCATGATCATATTCATTAAATGCATCTTCTACAGGAAGACTATTTTTATCTGGACACAAATTTTGTTCTATATCTAATTTTCGTCGTTTGCTAAAATGTGTATCAACATTATCCAACCTTTTCTCAGAAACTTTAATATTTAAAGCTGATCTTTGTTGATTTGTCATAGAAACATCATTGTGTTTTGGAATATTAGTATTATCAATAAAATCACATACAGTTTCTTTACTCTTCAAACTCGTATCATCCACATTTAAATTTAATATACTACAGTATGAATGATTTTCTTTGTCATCCATATTAATTTTGATATTTTTTTCGTGTTTATCTTCTGATAATAAATTTGTCTTATCCTCTTCTTCCAATAACTTCCGTTTCTGTTCTGCTTCTTCTTCCATTATCCTTTTACGCAAACGTTCAGTAAAAACAGTAGTACTACCCATATAAGGTACTTGTAACTTTTTAGATTGATATCTTGTATTGCAAAATTGATCACTATAACTTTCATAATCTGACACAACTTGATCTTCATCAGGGTGATTACAATTAACAGTACTAGAGTTTTGAAAATTCATATCAGAAGAACTACTAGCAACTGAATTATATTTATCATTATTTGAATTTAAATTTTGTAAATTAGACACCGAAGTTCTTTCACTCTCAGCATATTGTTGTACATGACTATATTCATGCAGATTTTGTACAGGCAACTGCTGCATTGATTTGTCATTAATATCTTTTACGTTTCTATTGAAGTGGCCACGTCTAAATGACATATTGTCTACCCTAAAAGGCAATATATTAAAGTTAATAAAAATATAGATTAAAATATATTTACAAAAAAATACTTACTGCTTTCTAAGTTCATCTATCATCTTGTCTTTTCGCGTAATTTCGGCCTTGGCTGTTTTAAGTAAAGAAGATAAGTTAACCTCTAAGGTTTCATTAACCTTTTGAAGATTTTCTAATTTTTCCTTAAGCTCGTTAACTTCTTTCTTTAATTCCTCGCATTCATTTGAAAGAGCTTCATTATTTTTAGAAGGCTAATATAATATAACAGGAATATTTTAATATTCATAGAAATAAAAAATATATATTATAATATTTGTATTAAAAAATTCCTTACATTCTCATCATCCTTAATATCGTAATTGGACAAATCCTCATAGATATCAAAATCATTATCCATTTTTTTTTCTATATTTGATATCTTGTTACAGATTTGATATTTAATATCATTTAAATAGTAATAATACGATAATAATAACGAAACATTTTTCCCACCAAAAAAAGAGAAATTAAAAGATTCGAGATAGGATAACAGCTGATTTTGTGGCGATCAACTTCGTGAAATTGCCGCTATGCGTCGCAACATCGACAATGTTTCTCGCAATTACTCAAACATAGTGCGATGACAATATATACGAGTTCTGAAATATTCTTCACTACGTCTAGGGCAGGGTCCGTTTGTTAGCCTTACTGATGAGTCCTCATCAAACGGACCTGGGACGAAACGTGCTTTGGGGGTTGTGTTTGGTGTTAGGTTTTACAAATCCCATTGTTTTAATTAAAATAAAATCAGAGAATTTAATTATAACAACGCCCGCGCGCGGTTTAAAAAAAAAACTATACCATTCTGTCTCAATTAAAAAAGAGTTTCTTCAAAGGGGGTTCTTCTTCATGGGAATTAAAACTATATATTGTTGTTTCCTTCTCTCTCTGCCCGCGCCTGCCCCCCTCTCTCTGTTAACTTGAATGGAGAGAGATGTCGTGTTGTATGTTTGTATTTGTGAGAATCGTTGTAATTAAACGATTGGAGATTATGATGATATCTTGTAGAGTTTGTTCCCCTTAGCCTCCCAGGGTGAAACAAATTTCCTCCGACCCCTCGCCGCGCTGTCGCCTCTTTGGCGCCCATAAATCGGTGGGATCATAAACAAATGTGACCGCGCAGTTCTGTAATAACCCCGCTCTTCTGCGCTGGGCTGTGTTCTCCGATCCCAGGCGCGTCCTCTGCGATTGTTGATCGAATGAGGCAAATATTATCATAATGCTCCTCTCTCAGGTTGGCCATATATAAAAATCTTCACACACACCTCTCTCCTTCCAAGCCTCTCTCTCGACTTTCAGAGTGTGCTTTACACCTACAGCGCAGTATAAAGAGAAGAGAGAGTGAGAGAGGGAAAAGAGAAAAAATCTTTCCCTTCCCCTTGTCTGTGCCACAACTTTCATTCACTTCGTCCCCCATACACACATTATTCACCATGATATCGTGTCTAGGGCAGGGTCCCCGCTCTTATTAGCCCTACTGACGAGTCCATGAGCGGTGGACCCGGGACGAAACACACCACGATTCTTTTCTTTTTTAGCATAATTTTTTAATCTTCACTAGATACGATGTCGATATGCACATTTGTTTCACGACAAAAGTGTCCTCATAAAGTTAATTAAAAGACAGAATATTTTTTATTTTTCACAAAGCCAACTAAAATCAAAATTAAAATTTTTAAATATTGAAATTTTATATTAATAGTATATTAAATTTCTCACACGTTATCATCTTTTTCGATTTAATCGAATGTATTATTGCTTTAATATTAATTTATTCTATTCCATGTACATTAAAGATTGTTTAAATAGTTAGCAATATTATCGAAAGTATTAATTTATAAGTTCTCTTAAGTTTAAAAAGATTAGAGTTTCGATATGTACTCGTTGGAATGCAAAAGGAAACTAATTCAATAATTTTCAAAATTAATAAAAACACATATATTGCACATGGCCAAATTTCTCGCGTATTACCAATTTTTATATTGAATACATTTTATTATTTTTATTCTAGAATCATTTGTCTAGAGATTGACCGAATAAGTAACCCTAAATTCTCTGTGCGAGCATCGTGAAATGCATTTCTTTATAAGTATTTCGATGTAGATATCTCAAGAATAATCAATCCTTTTTGATTGTATAAAAGATAGTTTATTTATTTTTTGTTTATTCTCTTCATCGTTATAATATCAATATCAATAAAGATTTCAGTAATAACAATGTATATAAAAAAAAAAAAAAAGAAAAAAGAAAAGAAATAAAATTATAGATACATCGCCATTAAAATATAGTTAATATTTTTATAATCTAACAGCGTTTGTAACAACGTCATATGTATATAAAATTCGTGTATTGTAAAATATGCATAGAAATATACTAGATGATAATATGAACTTATATAATGTAATATGTCAAAGATATTTCGATTGTTTGACATTAGGTTTCGTTTTAATAAGTGATACGTTGGGAACTGTCAAACTATCGCTACGTTCTTGAAAACTTATCCCAGAAGAATTGGTAGCTACCGAATTAGATTTATCGCTATTGGAATTAGAATTTTGTAATTTGGGCGTCGAGGTTCTACCTTTAAATAGAACCGCCTGTTCTGTACTTTTACTAGCTTCTTTAATAGATATAGAAGAGACATCGCTAAAATCTAATAGATCGCCAATTTTAGGATCTATGTGTTTTTTATTTGGAGAAATTATTCTTCTAGCAGTGTTCAACGGTGTTATGTCTGAATTAGACGATGAACTTAGAGCACTTGCTTCTCGTGTTTTCTTTAATGTCGTTATAGCCCAACTAAGTCCTAATTGTTTGAGTGCTGTTTCCATTTCCTCAGATGAAGCATATTTAAGTAAACTCGACGATGGTGTACTCGTAATTTCCGAAATTCCAGATAACTCGCAGAAACTATTCGAACTTGTAGAAGACACTTTACCCTTTTCGTTATCATTCCTATCAAATCTTTGATGTATCAGTTTTGTTTCTTGATCGGACGTATTGCACTGTAATTGTTTATTAACTTTTTCTTTTCCAGTATCTTCAAATGCAACTGCTTTATCTTTCATTCGACATTCCAAATTTATCTCATCTTTCGTTCTTCGCGAAAGATCACATTCTGTACCAACTTCTTGCAATTTTGAAGTAAACACTTCTCCAGGCGACTTTCTCGTAGAAGTTGAAGAAAATGATAACATTTTATTATTACCTACATGGCCTTCAATAGGTAAAGGTGCTACATGAACGGATGGTTTAACAGTAACTGAGGATTTCGTTGTTTGTACTTCCACTGATTTTTTAACTGCTGACTTTTCTGTATATGATTCGTCCGTTGCAAACGATTTAGCTGTTGAACTTTTTATATTCATATGACTTTTATTCGCTGTATCTGGCGTATCGAATTCTATTATCGTTGACAATTCATGACCCATAGATTCGATTTCCGTTCTAAAATTGAATAACATTGAATAACATTAAATAGAAAAAAAGAAAAATAGAATTTCTAAAAAATGTATATATATATATATATTAAAATTATTTTTATACCTATAATATCCACTGTGCAAGGTAACTGGTGGTTTATTTCTCCCATTCACGCGATGTCCATTTGTTAAAAAAGATGGCAATACTTTAGGTATACCAGCAAGTAGAGGCTCAAAAGTTACATCCTTTTCAGACTATAAAGTATTATCAACAATAGTTATTTAAAAATGTTCAATTTTTATTATTACATAATAATATGTATGAAAAATTGTAATTTACCTTTACATTAATATCGGTAGCTTGTACAGGAACATTATTTCCCTCGCTTTTGGGAGGACTGCTTGATGGTTTTGAACTATCAGATTTCGTAAGTAGAGATGTATCTTCATTTTCATAATTACTAATTTTTTTAAATGCAGGTATATCGTTCGATTTAGTTTTACTTTGTTCTAAAATCTCTTTTGAAAGTTCTTCAATTGTATTACTTTCTTGAATTGGAATTTTAGCCGGTGGCCAAGAATTACGTTCAGGCGTAACCGTTGTCATTGTTGCTAATGATTTATGAGGAGGCATTTTAAATCTATTCAGTTTTATATTCACTTTCTCTTCTTTTATTATTCGTGGTTTAGATTTAGTTTTACACGACGTAGACTTATCAATGTTATGTTCAACAGTTGTACTTACTGGTTGTTCAAATTTATTTTTAATTTGAGAATCTACTACTTGAATATCTGTATCTTTATTAATGGCTTCAGTTTGCATAATAGCATTCTGTGATTCATGAAGTGTTTTTGCAAGTTGACGATGTATTGCTTCTATATTTTCTACTAATCTTTGAACATTCTTCATACTGCTTTGCATTTCCGGATGTATTTTCATGAAACTAATATCATCATGAGGACTTATTACAGAAAGTTCCATACCTAAAAAAGGAAAAAAAAAAAAAAAAAAGAAAAGAACAAATTATATACAATTAACGCATTTAATAAAATAAAGTAGACGTATTTTATTATCAATGTGTAACATTGAGTTAGCAATATAACTTACCTCTTTGTTCACTTCGAACTTTTTCAATAAGATCGGTCAAAGAAGCTATTCTCTCGGTACACGTATTTTGAAGATCTTCATATTTCTTAAGAATTTCCGGACAATTTTTTAACGCAAAATCTTGTATATCTTCAAGTTGAACGTGTAATAATTTGCATTGAGGATTTTGACAAGAACATGATTTAGATAAAACAGGTGAATATTGGGAGTATACGCTTTGCTCAGATGATACGTCTTTTTGCCTTTCATAAATAGGTGAATCTCTATCCTTTTTGCTAAAAGATTTTATGTTATCATCTACTCCATCGCCATATCTAAGTACTTTTCCAATTTTTTCAGGATGAGGTATATTGGATGGTATCATCATAGTACGAGGAGAAGGAGTTTCTGGTGTTGATACAGGACTGATATCTCTTTTTGCTCTCTCTGTAGCACTGAGTATTGAAGAATTTAATAATTCTAAAATAGGTGTTGTATTACTTCCAATAAAAATTCGTCTTTTAGGTTCCAAAGGTGGTGGGCTAGCAAATGATGTAGAAGTATCTGAAGTATCTTTTACTTTGATTTTTTTTTTAGATTTGATCACAGGAATTTCATATGGTCCACGTATAGATGAATCTTGTGTATTTACTGACGAATACATTACAGAACTTTCTATGCTACTATCTATAGTTGGTCTTGTATCATCAGGAGGATCAACGTTGACATCCAACCCATTCTTTTTGAAATGAATATTAATTTTTCGCGGACTATTACGACAGGAGCTTGGTAAAGATTTAGAAAATCTTTTTACAGGAGAAGAGATTTTACTTGGTGGCGCAGAATGTGATTTAGATATACCTCCTCTCGTCGGCGTTCGTTTAGATACTTTCAATGCACTTTTCTTTTTCTTCGGGGTAACTTTTACCTCTTTATTATCAATATCAATGATAACACCAGTGATCACAGAGTTATTTGAACCACTGCTACTGTCTTCTACTTCAGGAGTAATGACTCTAATTACAGGTTCAATCGGATAATGTTTAATAGGAACTTCTTTGACGGCGTTTAATTCATTGGTCGCATCGCTGTCGATTGGTTTTAATTCTACTTGAACACCTTTATCTTCAGCTATACCAGCATCTTGTAACGTTGACGTTTGTACAGCCATTTCGCATTTTTTTGATACACTCGTTTTTTTAGGTTTCTTAGAAATTTTATTATCTTCTCCGTTGGACATGTTTATCAATGTTACTTCAGGAGATAGGCACGTCTGTCGATGCATTTTTTTTTGTGGCTCATCACATTTATCAGGTTCAGTCAAAGATGTTATACTTGCATGATAAATGTTATCCGGCAAGCTTGTACCAAATTCCTTCAATAACAACATTTTTTGTCTCTCAACCTTTTTTAACATGTCTAGTATCAACTCGTCGCGTGAAACCTTTCGTCCTTTATCTTTACTTTTTGGTGATTTAACCATAGATACATGATCATCAACGAAATGTGGTTCCTTCCAAGTACCTTCTGCCTTTTTATCATGATTTTCAAATTGTTTAACCGGTTCAAGAGTAATTACTCTCTCCATAAGATTTGGACAGTGACTTGCACAACAACTTTTATCAGTCATGGCTTCAAATTTTCGATTTAATTTTTTTTTCTGTTCTTTTTGTAATTCTCTCCTACGAGATTTTCTTAACTGTACGTCATTCATCTATTAAACAAATTAAATCTACTTTATCATAAAGGTTATATATCATAAAGGTTGATATATCATAAATGTTTGTACACACACACGAGATTTTTTTCTTTTTTTTTATGATATAATACTTACTGGATCACATTGAATATCACTAGCTTTTAATTTTCTTTCTTCAGACGAAAGATGATCTAAACTTTTCATAAGTGTTTGGTAGTCGGATCGTACTTTTTCACGCAAAATTGCATCATCGCCCCGTTTCTGAGAAGCAAATTTATGAGTTTCAGTCACATGAGACTCAACACTTTCAGTACGTTCTACCTCTCGAGCTGCATCTACTGCATTTGGCTGTAAAATATATATAAATATTTATATAAAAAGAAATATATATATATATATATATATTATGTAAAAAAAATGTTCAAATGTTAAATTTCATTATAAAGTACAAACCTCATTTCTTATATCCAATCTTTCAACTACATCAAGTGGTCTATTATAATTATTTCTTTGACGCGTAGTATGATCATACAATTGCACTTTACTATCTCTGAAGGATGTATGATGTTTTGGAGTTCTAATACAAGTTGATTGTTCGCATACATCAGAAAAATATGAGGAATCATCACTAAGCGAAGGACTCTCATTGCTCATCAAATCCGATGAATCTTGTACATAATCTCCTGGGTTATACCTTAAATATAAAAAGAATTTCCAAATAATACATTTGAAAAAATAACATTTATTGTATATTAAAATATACCTTGCTAATTTTTGTGCTTTTGCAGAAATACTTAAAATTGGCACCGTCTGACGTGGACTTTTATCATCCTGAGCAATATAATTTGTATGTACAATATTATCAGTATTTTCTGACTTTTTGTCAGGCTTAGTTGTAGTAATACATTTTTGTGATACTTCATTTTGCACGTGGATTTTTTCTCTGGGTGAAAGTTGCAACGGCGAATCGCTTTCTTGAGATTCTTCATTAACCTATAAAAAAAAAAAAAAAAAAAAAAAATATACGTATACATACTCATAACAACTATATATGAAGAAAGTACAATACCTTTTCAATATTTCTTGTTTTTTTCGCAGGAGATTTAGTAGAGGCAAGTCTTTTGATCTTTTTCTTTTTAGCAGATTTACTTGAATTATCATTCGTTTTATCCTGTTGTAAAGACGTTCTGTTTTCTTGACTTAAATTTCTACAAGATTCATCCTGACTCGCAATTTTTCTTGAAAGTTCAGCAACCAAGGATGATCTTTTGTTTTCCAATTCCCTAACCTGCTGCAATCTTTGTCGATGCATAGTATGTTGATCATCCTTTTACACAGGTTTTATTTAATATTTATAATGGCCTTTATGATATAAGTTATCAAGAAATTTTAATACTCTGTGTTAAAGTATAAAATTATCAGAAAATATGTTATTTACCTTTTCAACTTTTTTCAATTGTTCTAAAGCTTCTTTACCCCTTTTCAAAGCAATTTCCCTATTTCTTTCAGTTTCATCTTCTATATCAGCAATTGCTTCAGATTCTAAAATAGCATCTAAATGTGCCTGACCAATATTTTCCATATCTTCTTGATACCTTTGTTGAATTTCCATAATTTTTCTTTCATGAAAACGTTTGAGTTCAGATTTTTCATCTTTTTCTAACTTTTCTAACTCTTGTTGTGCAATATTTTTAGCCCTTTCCAAAAGTCTATTAGAAATTTCTTTAGATTGCTGTCTAACCTATAAGCAAGTATATATATATACATATATATATATATATATATACATATGTAAAATATATTAAAAATATTTTCTACGAAATATTATTCATTAGAAATATAAACAATATTATAAGATGATTTATCTACAACACACCTGTTCTAGACGCAATCTTCGTCGACGGTCACGTTCATTTTTCTTAATTTGGTCTAAATCCGACAATACCACTCTTCCACGGCGTATATTTATTGGATTACCACTGACTGTGACGTTTATCGACATTTTTTTTTATGATAAACAATTGAATTTAATCATTAAATTGTTCTTAACATCGATAAATGAACGTCTGACACACTGTGACATACATAAAGACGGCGTTACTTCGTTCCCTACTCGTGTTCAACTCAAATTTAAAATGATAAAAAGCAAGTATAAACGATCATTCGCGCCTTTCGCCAATGAACGTATTCTAGTGAATGGACCAATCGTGTACAAGTTGAAACACAACACGATTGGACGAGCGAACATGTATACTTCCATTTGTTTTTTTTCTTTTTCTTTTTTAAGTAAAACCCAGTAGAACCCAGTTTGATGCAACGTTGCAACTTTTCTTAACATCTGATTGGTTATAACTACATATTTTCTTTTCAAAGAGATTTTTGTTTTTCAACGATGCATTTTTAATGGAATCTCTGATCGTTTTATTTGCCGGTCTTTGATATTGATAACCTCATTGATATTTATCATTAATATCATACAATTACGCAATGTCCGTATGTATATATATATATATATATTTATATACACATATATATATATTATTTAATGAAGATATTACTCGAATGAGATTTTTTTTCGTTTGATTGAAAATTCGAAAAATAATGCTTTTGAAATCTGATACAAGATGGCACAACTACATTACGTCATTATTTCGATCTCAGTAAGAAGATTAGGTAACATCGAACGTATTACCAAAATGCACGAGAAATGACATACATATAACGTACCTTCGATCACGAATGACGACAGTACATATGAAACTATACCGATACTATCATCTATCTCTTTGCATACAATTTTCAGATTAATTTGTGCTGTGTAGTTCAAAAAACAAATTCACAACGGCGTGCAGTAATCGAAGTTCAAACGAGAGTGCGTAATATATGTTTAAGAAAAAGAAAAAGAAAAAAAAAACATAAAGAATAAAAAAAAATCAAAAAAAAAAAAAAAAAAAAAAAGAAATCCCATCATACCATTGAATCATCTTACGAGATATATACATATGTACATATTTGTATGGTCCACGTATTTGTCATGCTAGCGAATAGGCATTTCACACGCCATTCATGTTAGTATACGTTATTACCATATCATCTATTCATAATGGATTCTCTTTCAAGATCTTATACTTGCTATAATCATTATTGAAAGTTTTTAATTACTCTATTATAGAACTGACAATGCATACGCAAAAGTATAACATTAGTTAACCAAAAAAAAAAGAGGAAAGAAAAAGAAAAGAAAAAAAGAAAACGGATTAAGAAATATTCGAAGAAACATGGAACTCATGAAGTTTTCGTATTACAACGATAACGACAATACAATACGATATATGAACACTCGAATACATTTTTTAACAGATACATATATACATATTTGTGCACATTCTATAGGCGTATATACGTTCCACCTATTAAAGTTCTAGGTCATGATGCAAGAGACAAGATCACACTTAAAATTCAATACGAGGCCTACGTTAGTCGTACTAATCCTATCTACGTTATTATATCATTTTTATTATTTCGGAAGGAATGGTAAATTTTTTTTCTTTCTCTCTCTCTCTCTCTCTCTCTCTCTCTCTCTCTCTCTCTCTCTCGTTTTTTTTTGTTGTTTTCTTTTTACTATATATTCCAGTTACATCATTACATCATCTGTATCATCATCATCATCATCAATCGTCATCGTCGTATATACATAAATCGTCGCAATCATGAATGAAAACCTTTTTTTTTTTTATACATTAAATTTATATATCTCAATACATCGATAGCTAAATTGTTACATTATCACGTTTTAATTATGCAATAATTAAACAAATTATATATATATACATACATGTGTATATAGTTTCGTTCAAGGCGATGCGTTTCTGTGACATGAATATTGCAATATTTTGTGAATATTTTTTTTTTCTTTTTTTTTTATTCCATCAGTTCATTTAACTTTTAGATTGCAACATAAAAATTATATTTTGATATACGCTTTTTCAAAGTTCAAATAATGCTCAAACGAAATTATCACAATCTTGAATTGAGAGTATCATTTTGTTTTCGTAAAATCGATGTCGAAAGCTAGACTTTATGTCATTATCTATAAACGTACATATTTACTAATGTTATGATTAAGAAGTTATGATGTTATAATTAAATAAATTACATACGCATATATATATATGTATATAAATGTATATATATATATATATAGTCCATTATATATATATATATATAGTCCATTCAAAGTGATACGTTTCATTGATATGAATACTGTAATATTTTTTAAATAGTAATTTTTATTTTGTTTTTCCTCTTTCGTTTTAACTTCAGTTCATTTAACTTATTCAATGATAACATTATCATTTAATATACGCGAGCATAATTATTATTGCTTTTCGAAAGCTCACATAATGTTTTGCTTTCGTGAAAACAACGTCGAAAGCTATAAATGTTACGTCATTATGTCATTATCTATAAAAAAATTAGTTTTTAATTGTTTCGATTATTACATTTATATAAGATACAAAAAAAAAATTTTATATCAGAATCTTTACGTTACTATAGTAACGATATTGTAACCTTCGCAATTTTTATTTTTATTTTTATTTTTAACTCCTTTTTATTTTTTTTTTTTTAACTCCTTTTTATTTTTTTTTTTTTTAACTCCTTTTTATTTATTTATGTTTTTTGTTACTTAACTTTAATTAATTTTTAATGATTTAAGTTCAATAATACGAATATTATATGTTGATATACTAGCAAATAAATACTATCGCGTTAAGAGTTCAGATAAAAATGTATTAATCGCATTGAATGAAGCAAATGGTATCGCGTGAAGAGAGAGGAGACGTGAAAACTGAATTTAATAAAGCGATTTTAAATAAAGTAACTTAGTAAGCATCCGACCATTATACGGTTAGGATCAATTTTTTATAGCTTGGTCATTGACTGTACGTACACGAACACTTTCACTTTCGCATTCCGTCTTGAATATTCTTTATTCCTTTGTCGTGTCATACAAAATGTATTTTATTAAACTAGGATTAACGACGTATTTATTTTTGTTATTAAGTTCATTTGTATTCTCAGGTAAATCCAACGAATTTCGTTTGGAACTCGTACAAGTAGTAAGTATAAAAATTTCATGTAATTTATTTCTATTTATTCGATAAGAAAATGTTAAGAGGAAATTTGTAGACATATATATATATATACACGTACACACACACACATATATATATTTTTTTTTTCAAATTAAAAAAAATTAATTACTTAAAAATATTATATAGATATATAAGTATATATATATTTCTATGGGTAATTACATAAATTAAAGTGATCTAAATTTTTATCAATTTTTATCAAATAGTCGACAAATTCCTTTTTTTTTTTTACCTTATATCTGTAATTGTCATGTATTAAATTTTTAACAAAAAATTTTTTTTTATAATCACAGTTATTTAGACATGGAGAACGAACACCGCTTGCTAAAGAAATGTATCCTAATGATCCTTATTATGGATCTAATTACGAACCATGGAGTGTCGCTCAATTGACAAATGTAAGTATTAATAAAATTATTTTTAAATTATCACAATAAGAAATATTTTGATTAGATAAGCGATACTTACATCAGATTCTTCGTAACATGTAATAAATCGTTTATCATACTTAAGCTTAAAAATTATTATATCGAAGTCAGTAGTTTTGTTTGTCTCTAAGAACAAAATATTTTTCATACAAATAGATATAATAAATAATATCTACTAGTTATTACAAAATATATATTCTCGTTTATACATCGTTTTTTTCTGTTTATTAGTATTAACATTTTTAACGTCAATTTTATTTCTTTATATATGTATGAAAAAAGAAAAAAGAAAAAAAAGAAAAATTTGAAATTTTTATTAAAAATGAAATCTCACCATCATTATAATTATATTCTTCTTTTCGATTACGAAATAATAATTTTAATAGGTTTTCCCAATTATTTATAATAAAATGAGGTACATAAACGCAAATTTATTTATTATTATACGAAACAAATTTTTTTTTTTTCTTTTTATTATCGTAAAAATCATAAATTTTACTTTTCTTTATACATTTTTCTATATATATTTTTATACATTTTTCAGGTAGGAAAAATGCGTGAATATTCAATCGGAAAAATGTTGAGAGAACGTTACAACGATTTCTTGGGTGATATATATCGCCCTAAAGATGTATATGCTCGTAGCACGGATATCGATCGGACTAAAGTGTCTCTATACTTAGTTTTAGCAGGTCTTTATCCACCATCAAAAGAACAGAATTGGAATCCAAATTTACCATGGTTAGCTATTCCCACGCATTATGCTCCAGAAAGGGTGGATAATTTGTTAAGACCTCAAGCTTGTCCAATGTTTGTATTTTTAAAAATCATCGATACGATATAAGAAAAATTTAAGAAAAGATTTTAATTTATATATTTTGTTGTAGATACGAAAAAGCTTTAGAAGAAGTTAGGGAATTGCAGGAGGTACGTGAGAAAAGTGCAGTTTATACGGACGTATTAAAATATCTTACAGAAAAAACTGGTATGGAAGTTAAAACTTTATCAACGGCTTACGAAATTTTTAATTTATTGACAGCACAGGTAATATATAATTGTGAATGTGTAATATGTTTATAGTTCAATCACATTCATATTTAGTTATAAAATTGATTATTATATTATCTTATTTTAGAAAAATTTGAATTTAACGTTACCAGAATGGTGTACCGAGAATATTTATAAAAAGATGGAGGATATCGTATTTCTCGAATATGAAATTCGTTCGTATACGCCAAAATTGAAACGTTTAACTGGCGGCATGTTAATCAGGAAATTTATTGAAAATATGAATATAAATGGGAAACAAAAAAATCCTCGGAAAATTTATCTTTATAGTGGTCATGAAATTAATATCGCAGCTTTTACAAGAGCACACGACATTCATATACCTAAGTTACCTAGTTATGGTTCGACAATTATAGTAGAAAAATTACGTAATACGGAAGGAAAACTTTTCATTAAGGTATTAAAATTTTTCGTTTCTCTCTTTAGATTTATAATCGATTATAGTAAAAGAATAATTTATTTATTTATATATTTTTTCTCTTTTTATTTTTATATTTCATTGACAGATGCTTCTTTGGACTGGCGTTACTGAAGAATTAATTACACTTAAACTTAAAAATTGTGATGAAATTTGCCCAATAGATACATATTTAGAAATTGTGAAAGACATTATTCCTTCTGATGATGATACAAATTGCTACTGGAATACAATAACAAAAGAAGAATTAAAGAATCTATATAACGATAGAATATATCTCAATTAATTTATATAATTTTACACATAGTATTTTTATAAATATTATCTTTTTCTTAAATTAAAATTATTCCGATTATATGCAATATTATCGAGGCAATTAAATCTTATTAGGCAAGAAAAATCTACTATCTATGCTTTATTTATTAATTATTGATAATCTCTTGTAATAATTCTATCTTTTTTTGCATCCAACAAATTATATATAATATAATCATATTATATAATTTGTTGGATGCTTTCAAAATTAATATTATATAATTTCAAAAAATACATTACTAGATCACATGATTTCAAATTTAAAGGTGATTGGATGAGCGGTCGAAGTTTATTGGTGAAATGAGATCCAATCATCGTCGAGATAGATATATCTTACGCTAATCAATATTATCATTTGTTATTCCGAGCAATAGTATACGTATTACTTAACCTGTACAAATAATATTAATAAAATCGAACAAAATTATATATAGAATAAAATAGGATTTATAGAATAAATAAACCACATTTTTTTTTTTATCAAAGAATATTATCATATTTGCGATATTCTTATGCATTGTGTAAAAATATTCCTTCCACGATAGTAAACTATGTGTTACTTATTTATTACGAAACAATCTAATCAATTTTCTTCTGCCGAATGTACATTTAATATACATTTACGAACGTATGTAATCTATATTAGTTAAATTATTAAATAAAAATTTTATAAACAATTATTCTATCATAACCTCAAAGCGTTGATCAATTTATTTTCAGGTTATGAAATATAATTTTAATCAATGGACAACAGTGGATAGGACTCTTTGTTTAGAGTATACATGATGTATTTTTCAACAAATTGGAAGACATTTTTGTTTCTACTTTTATGGAGATTAATTTCTGTTTTCATTGTACAAACTGCTCATGTGCCAGATGAATATTGGCAATCTTTGGAAGTCGCCCATCATCTTGCCTTTGGATATGGATTTCTTACATGGGAATGGACTGCAAAAATCCGTAGTTATGTTTATCCATTTTTGATAAGTTTTTTATATAGGCTATTAGCTATTTTTTCTTTAGACTCGGTTATAAACCTAATAATAGTACCAAGACTATTCCAAGCCACGATCAGTGCTTATGCAGATTACAAATTTTACAAATGGACCAAAAACAAATGGATGTTATATAGTTTATGTATTAATTGGTATTGGTATTATTGTGCAACACGTACACTTATTAACTCGTTAGAAACTTCTTTTACTATTATAGCTTTATCCATGTTTCCATGGCGTAACAGTACTATAAAAAGTGCTAAATTTCTATGGATAGTTGGTTTTCTTTGTACATTAAGACCAACTGCTGCTATCGTATGGATACCCTTATGTATATATCATTTTTGTACTAGTTTACAGAAAAAAGTATCATTAATTTGTCAGTATGGAATAATTGGCATTATATGTCTGTTAAGTTCTGTGATATTAGATAGTTATTGTTATAAAAGTTTTACAATATCTTCGTTAGAGTTTTTCCGTTTAAATGTACTACACGGGATAGGTGATACATATGGAAGAAAACATACATTGTGGTATATATTTTCTGCCTTACCAGTCCTTCTTGGACTTCATTGCATTACATTTTTAGCAACGCTATTGCAAATAATTAAACGTTCTAAACAATTTCATAGAGAGGCAGTTATGCTAGCAGTAATTGGATGGACAATTGGCATTTATTCATTATTGTCTCACAAAGAATTTCGCTTTCTATTACCACTCTTGCCAATGTTTATATACATAAGTACAAGTTGTACCATTCATGTTAAAATTATTTCTAGAGCATTATTGAGGAAGATCTTTTTATCTCTCTTATTAATAACCAATGTAATTCCAGGACTTTACTTTTCTCTGATTCATCAACGTGGAACATTAGATATAATGAATATCCTACAAACTGATTTGGCTAATGAAAATTCTACGTCTGTAAATATATTATTTCTAACACCT